TATTTTAAGTGCTCTCAATGACAGATTAATTGTGGGAGGGATTTTCTGTGATCTAGCAAAAGCTTTCGATTGTGTTAATCATGATATCTTACTATCGAAATTAAATTTCTATGGAATAACTGGCAAAGCTAATGAATGGATCAAATCATACCTCAAAAACAGGTATCAAAGAGTTGAAATAAATAATAAAAACTCCAGTCATAATGCATTTTCAAACTGGGGAATTATAAAGCACGGTGTTCCACAAGGATCAATTTTAGGTCCCTTACTTTTTCTTCTCTACATAAATGATCTATCTAAAACCATCAACAATAAATCTAAACCAATTCTATATGCAGATGACACTAGTATAATATTTAAGAACTCTAAATTTGAAAACTTTAAAAATGACATAAATATTGTATTTGAAGCCTTAAACAGATGGTTCGAAGCCAATTTACTCTCATTAAATTTTGATAAAACCCATTACATATCATTCACAACTAAAAACAACCACCAAATTGATCTGGACATCAGTTATGCCAACAAATTAATCTGTAAAGTACTTGATACAAAATTCCTTGGAATACATGTAGACAGTACACTGTCTTGGAAAATACATATTGAACAAATTATACCTAAATTAAATGCAGCTTGCTATGCGATGAGATCAATTAAGCCTTTTATGTCACAGGAAACATTGAAGATGGTTTACCATGCCTACTTTCATTCTATTATGAACTATGGATTAATATTTTGGGGGAACTCTTCACATAGTGTAATAATTTTTAAAATACAAAAGAATATAATAAGAATCATTACAGGATGTAGAAGTAGAGATTCATGTAGAGAATTATTTAAGAAATTAAAAATTCTACCGCTTCAATCGCAATACATATTATCGCTTCTCTTATTTGTTGTTTACAACAAAGATAAATTCAAATTAAATTCTGATGTCTATAACATGAATACTAGACAAAAATATAACTTCCACCTACCCTCATCAACTTTATCAGTATATCAAAAAGGAGTCTACTTTACTGGCATAAAAGTGTTCAACAATCTGCCACAAAGTATTAAAAACTTGGGCAATGATACTAAAAAGTTTAAATCAGAGTTAAAGAATTATCTACATGCTCATTCCTTCTACTCTTTGGATGAATACTTCAATGTAAATAGAGAATGATGTAAAATTAAGTTATATTAATTTTTAAGCTAAAATTGTCTGTACTTATGTATGTAACCTTTTGACATGTTCTGTATCCAAAGGTACTAACCTGCTTAGGATTTATAGAATGTAAATAAATTCAATTCAATTCAATCAGGGACACACAGTAGTGTATTTGGTTGGGTCACTGCTATAAGCTGGAAGGTTGTAGGTTCAAATCCAGATGAGATCATTGGATTTTTCAATTCACCTAATTCTTCCAGCTGCATTGTGGCCTTGGCGTTGGCTCAATCTGTAATAGAAATGAGTACCAAGAATCTTCCTGGGGGTAAAGGGCAGTCAGCTTGTAAGGCTGACACCCTCACCACCATCTGTGAGCTGATTGTCTAGAAAATGAAGGAGTCTCAACATCTGAACTCTATGGGCTTCCATGGGTTGTTACAGGGGTAGCTTTACCTTTTTTCTTAAACTCATAATAAAAATACATAATAAACTAAAATTATTTTATTTTTGAAAGTATTTTAAATAAAATTTGAAGATGGTACTGGCGCATTTTAGTAATGTATAATTTTTATCTTGTATAGTGATATCTATCTGATGAAATTGACCAGTTTGAGTTTATGTGGGTTATATTGAACTGACACAAAAGCAAATTGAATTTGGTAGGTTAGGCTTAGTGTGGAGCTCAGTACAAATTTTCATTAAAGATCATTAAGTAGTATCACAAGTGGGCAGACATGAACTCCCTAATAGTTTCCTGCAAGGTGTCTAAAATGAATTCACAAAGCAGTTAGAAGAATGTTATGCACATGTATATGTGAGCTGCAAGAAGAAACACGGAAGACCATACAAGTTGTATATGTTGGGCTGGATTTTCTGATTTTCTAATTTGTTTACACATTTTTGTGTTGTTCATTTAATGCTAATTAATATATGTGAAATCAGTTACAGGTGAAGAGTATGACATTCTGGGTTGTAATGCCATGTAGGTCTGAGGTAGCCGAACGTTTCGGAGGGACATATCACCTCCATCTTCAGAGTTGAAGAATGAGCCAAACTTGCCACATGCTTCTGCAGTTTTCATGCTTGGCTTACTCTTCCACCTCGAAGATGGAGGTGATGCATCCCTCCGAAATGTTGGGCTTCCCCTGAATTATGTGATGTTAGAAGCCATAGGTCACTGCTATGAGAATCTCAAATCCAGTGGTTATGGTTGAGTGTCTGTGGGCTGGTCTCTCAGCTTGTAAAACATTTGTCACATTGTGTTCTGTGCACATACTGGTAGGGGTGTGTTCAGGAATCTGTGGATACTCTTTTCCCGAGGTTGATGTGTGCTTCTTTCTGATTTAGGATGATGATGTGTTACCTCATTGCATGCCATATACAAGATCAGCTTTTGACACTTGCATCAAGACTGCCACAGCAGTAGAGATTTCATTTATGTCAGTAGATAGAATCAAATATAACATGTCAATGTTTAAAAAAAAAATCTTTAACATGGTATATACTGGCTCTCGGTTGAGGACCATGTCAGGAAAGTATTTTGGAAGTTTCTGTGCTGCATGTACACCTCACACAACCCTGCATTTCTGATGGGTAGATCTGTACCCAAGCTTGGTAATCAGAAGGTTAATAACAGATTAATATGCCAAAAATATGTAGTATGGGATCACTGTCATGGATTGCAGTATTTTCTTCTAAGTGTGGGGATTCAGATTTATATGTAAGCCTCAAAAAAGTTAATAATAAATAATCATTTTAAACCAGTGGTTTTACTTTTGCAATGTGCTCTCTCATATGCTACGTAGAGTAAATACAACTTCAGGAAACAAAACAAGAGTGGGGGGGGGGGAATATGAAACTGTACAAAATGATAGCTGCACGTACCCTGTTATGTGGATCAGAAAACTGGACTTTTGACAAAAATGGAACAGAACAAAAAAAGAAACCTTAAAAATTGTTACATTAACAATACCAGGGAAAATGTGAGACAGCAGTATTGAAACTTATAGGAAGAGGCTGTAGGGGAATTTAATAGGAAAAAATAACATACACGCACATATAGTAAGAGCATGAGCTCTAACAGAATCGCAAAACAAATTCTGACTGGATCGGCATGTGGAAAAAAAAAAAAAACATGGGCATCTTTACTAAGGGTAGGTTCCATAGTAAGTAAGAATTGAAACTATACATAAACATGGAGATGTTGTTCTTAATACAAAGGCTATTTGGAAAGTAATCTCCAGTAAGCTGTTGACAAGCAATGAGAAAAGAATTTATTATATACAAAAAAAAATGTGTACATACTTAAGCTACTTCTCAATATAGTTACCGCCAGAATCAAGGCTCTTGTCATACCGGGGAATAAGTATTCGTATGCCTGTGTCAAAGAAGTCTGCTGCCTGTGAGCTGAGCCATGCACTGAAACACTGCTGGAGTATTTCAGCTGGGAGTTGTTCGACCACCCTCCTTACAGCCCTGATCTTGTGCCGAGTGACTGCCACTTGTTTGCCTCCCTGAAGAACTGGATGGGATCTCAGTGCTTCCGCAGTAATGAGGAGTTGATGGAAGGTGTCAAAACATGACTGAGCCCACATACAGAAACTTATTGCCTGATACATGAAGTGTCTCAATTCAGGGGGTGACTGTGTTCAGAAGTAGCTTAAATATGTGTGTATTTTTTGTATATAATAAATTTTTTCTCATTGTTTATTTTGTTGACAGTATGCGGAGGTTACTTTCTGAATAGCCCTCATATAATGTACTCTTCAGAAATAATCACAAGTATAAGGAAGGTTCTTAATGGGCCACTGTAGCCATGTACTTCTTTAAACCTGAAAGTAAAAGATCCAGCAGATGATAAATGCCAGTATAGTTGTGTTCCTATACAGAGTAATGGTGATAATATCCTTGATAATAATAGAAAATGTAACGATACATCAGAATTATATAAACCAACCAACCATAAACAACAGGTTGTACAGCTGCTTGTTGTTAGCACTGTTGTACTAATTATTATTCCTGTTGGTGCTGCTATTGCTACTGCTGCAGACAGTATGGATAATATTTGCAAAATAAGTACAGACCCTGACAAAAGAAGTAGAATTAGTGTTCAGAAGACCGAATTGCCATAATATTGCAAACAGAATGATAATGCTCAAACATGTACATGAATGCACAGCAGTGCTACACAAACCAGATGGCATGTACACATAATGCCTCAAGTGTTCAGTGTTATCCACAGCTTGTGTCACTAGAAAAAGAAACAAGTAGAAATCACAAAAATTACATGAGTTCCTTGTCACTCACTTTTGCCAGTTAGCAGCAGATAATGTAAAGTAATGAAATTATAATATTATAAACAAAAGAACTGACACCCAAAATGTACATGCACAGCAGAGTTTGTTAGTGACAGCAGGAAATTAAAGAGTTTGGTATTGTGGGTGGCCTCATGTGGCACAACATTCATAACAGCATTTTAAAATTACTTGCCTTGTTCGAGAGCCAAAAAAGGGGGATGCAGACACACAGCATGGTGGTCTCTAGAGCATGCTTGTTTCCTAAACGAAGGCAAGTAGGCTCAGAATCCACTGTGACTTGCTCAAGATTGAAGTGCCGCTCTCCAGTTCACAGGCAGTTAATTTAAGTAAGTAATCTGCTGAGAGTTGTTCATCATAGATGGTACGATGGCACAGTATATATAGAAAATTTATTATTAACCATGCAGAATTACAAATGGATCATTAAACGATCATTTTTAGATTGCACATTAATGGAGGTTTCTGCATTATAAATATTGGAAATATGATCAGTTGCTGATACCAGTGGTGGTGGTATTGATGTACTGTTGCAGGAGGAGCCGAGCGATGATGAATCAGGGGGTCCAGCTGTAACGTCACAGCCAACATCTTCATCTGTGTTTGCAATGCCACCCCCAGCTGATAGTAATGCGACGGAAAACACATCACTCAATCCACAGGACAAGATTATATATACACCAGGTAATAAAGTCATATAGCATAGTCGATATAGCAACTGGCTGTGGGCTGGACAACTGAAGGGTCAGAGTTCAAGTCCTGGTAGGTTCAAGAATTTTCTCTTTTCCACGTTGTTCAGACCAGCTATGGGGCCCACCCAGCCTCCTATCCAATGGATATGGTGGGCTCTTTCCCCAGGGGTAAAGTAGCAGGGGCGTGAAGCTGGCCACTCACCTCCAACTAATGCCAAGTTCAAAAAAAAAGACACGAGTCTCTACATCTACTCTGCGCCAATTCTGGGCACCAAGCTGCATTGATGCCTACAGATTTCATGGTAGCATCTGAAAATTTCTTCCAAATATATTACTACCACATAGATATTGGGTTTTCGGACTTTATCCATCGTCCTGGTTTTAAAATAACTAAGAAAAACGTGATGTTTTGGAAACTGGATCTGTTTCCATCCTCAGGTGAGGGAAAACACCTATTCTGTTGGGTCCCTTAGAAAGAGCTAGCCTCAATCACTGGTCCTCACCTGAGGACGGAAACAGATCCAGTTTCTGAAACGTCGTGTTTTTCTTAGTTATCTTGAAACCAGGACAATGGATAAAGTCCGAAAACCCAATATCTCTATGTGTTATATACCATCAGAATCCAATAGTAACTACTTAATATTACTACCAGTGCATGACCCAGGAAGGATGATGGGGGAAAATCACCCCCTCCCCCTTCTTTGTTGTATACCTTTTATATCTTTAATTCCTTTTCACCTTTCTCCATTTTTGCTTTCTCATCGCTGTTATTTGTCCATCCTATCATCATTCCTCTGCCCTTTCCTTCACATTAAAACATTCCCCCCATCTCTGTTCTTCCATTCCTCTCTCTGCTTTATGATTTTATCTTTTTCCATCCTTTCTCCAGAATTTTTACGCACGTCTTTTATATGTAGATTCTGTCATCATTCCTGTCCCCACATTCATGTAACAGTGCAGTGGGTTTTCCCCAGCGTGATAAGAACTGGCATTAAAAATGTACAAATTTCTCATTGGGGCTGTTTGAGGCAGCTTCTAGATTTAAAGGATATTTGTGTAGACCTGGAATAGTATGTGATTATTACAGTCTATTCAGTTTCTTTAATTTTACAAAAGTTGTGAATTTGAAGTACAGATATTTGTATTTCAGTATAAGCAGATTGAGGGCCAGGCAAGCTGTAATGGGTAAAATTATATGTTAAGAATAAATAAATATATTAAGCTGCTTAGTTTTTACTGTGGCAATAAATCACTGGCTTCATTCATAGTATATCTTGCTCCACTTGTGGTTCAAATTTTCTTCAGGAACTCAAAGGATCACTGTAGCAAGATGCTAAAGAAAATAAGACCCCACTTATATACAGCCCAAACACTTAATGTAGCATTGCTGTACCAGTCTCAGATGTTTACTTATAATGTAACAGAGGAATCTCTCATGCTGTACTCTTTTATGGGTGTGAACTACAGAAATATTATATGGGTGTCATTGTGATATCAAATTGAATACAGTTTTATAACTTCCAGCTTATACTGTTCAAAAAATTTAGAGATGTACGCTTATAAAGCATTATTTTTATGCAGGTGTCTCAGCTTAAAAGCCCAGGATTATTGCTAAGATATTTAATTTTGAATTTTTGATCTGTCGAATGGGAATCAGGTTTTGCTTTTTCATTTATCATTCTACATATCCTATACGTTCATCCGTCAAGGCCCATATGTAGGTGACATCACATTCTGGTTGTCAGTATGTTTGAAGGTTGTTCCAACTGAACATTACAGTTTTATTTAAGTTCTGGGGACACAGATTGTTGGGTCCTATCTTGTTTTGTCCCCAATATGAGAATACCAATGTTGGTAGGAATGACAGAGAAAGGTTCCCCCTCACATCCTGTAGGGGCACAGCCGACATCCCAGCAGCAGAGCGCCAAGTGGTAAGGACAGGAGCATCAGAACCTGCGGCGAGAGAAGTTCCTGGTCTGGACAGGTAAACAACACATGGCAATGTCATCTCTCTATTGCTCTGCAATTCACCTGGCTGGTAATGTAGATGAAACATGATTTATCCAGTAGTTATGGTTACAGCTACATGTACCTGTCTGCTAGTGCCTTGGTTAGAGCTCTGTGGCATCATGCTGGCATTTGTATGTTACTGAATTAATGTATAGTTATAAAATGGATAAATTTTGAGCATGAATGACAGTGAAACTTTTGCACTTAGTAGGTTGTAAATTTAGAATATGGGTTTTAAAAGGAATCATTACTAAATTCAGTTGTAGTTTGTGTTGAGTATTGCATTTGCATTGTCCTAAGTACCATATTCAACCCAGTTTTAGACACTTAAGTTAGAAAAACATTTATGAAAAGGCTGTTGAATTGTTTGGAAGTTCTCATTGATATTTCTTTTACATGTTAAATTTATAAAATTCATAATTTATAGAATGAACTAATTATTCATCTTTTTTATATTTTTGATCGGTATTCAGTGGAACTGAGCAAATCAACTCAACTTGTAACACTTCAGACTTGTGTTTGGGAGGTATCTTGTTAAAATCTCACCTGGCAGGTTTTTCATGCTTTCACCTGGCAGGTTTTTCATGCTTTCCCGTTCTCTACAAGACTGGTGCCATGACATGGCCTTAGATCAGGTTATTTGATATCATATAGTTTGAGTTACTGGCAACATAGTGAAATAAACTACAGATGTACAGATCTTAAGTGAAACAACCTCTAATGTGAAGAAAGCAGTCTTCTGGGATTTGGCACCGTGTATATGTGGTGTTAACCGACGTTTCGGAGGAACGTATCGCCTCCATCTTCAGGGTAGAAGAAAAAATATAAGAAATCCGCAAGTGAAGAGACCGTGAGAACCGGTAAAAGACTGGTCTGCCTCAAATCTTACAACCTGTAATGTAATTACTTTATGGATTGAAGTCTAGTAAAAATAAAATAAATTGTGCCTGTTCCTTATTTTCAAGTTGTTAAGCGTTTTCTGTCCATTTTAAATGTAATAATGTTAGTATGAAGCAGGTGGCTGAAGCAATAACCTAAAACGGTATTTCTCAGTAACATCTAAAAGTTTGTGACGATGGCGTTTCTGGATATTATCTGTCATCGCATTTTTTTACTTAAAATGCAGTGTTTTCGAAACTGGATTCTGTCTTCGTCCTTAGGCAAAAGCCTACTCAGTTGGGCCTAATAGATAAAGCTAGTCCCTATATCCAGATACCTGCATCAACAACAGATAATGTATACAAACCAGGCACAGCATAAACCACCTGCGAGCGACAAACACTAAACCATTAAAAACTCCACACTTACAGGACCTAGTACCTGAGTACCATAATAATTGAAGTATTCACTAAAGAGATTAAGTCTCTGTATGGTACCAACATACTCGTAAAAGAACACGCTTTTCCAACTTAAAGTACACTGGTGAAAGTTTTAGGTTTTTTACCTCTGCTGCGATAATGGAAGTTCGGATGGGACAGATGTCCAAGCCAGGTTGACTGATCAGATGATCTGTTGGAGAGATACTGGCTGATTCCCTGTATTTCTTTTATTTTGGTACCATACATAGAATTTGTCTCTCCAGCAATGGCTTCTACGAGTATTCCGATAGGCTTCATACGTGTGGAGAATTTAATGTTTTAATGTTTTGTCTTAGCCCTCTCAGGTGGTTTGTGCTGTCCTTGGTTCATATAAACTATCGGAAGTTGGCACAGGTGTTTGGAGATAGGAACTAGGACTAGCTTTATCGATTTGGCCCAACAGAATAGGCTCCACCTGAAAACAGAGACAGAATCCAGTCTTTAAAACGCCTTGTTTTAAGTAAAAAGCAGGGAAATGGATTATGTCCAGAAACATTGTATTTCTCAAACTTTCTTATGAAGTACCCCCTTTAAAATGTTTTTGAAGTACCCTAAGTACCTACAATTTTCATACCATAGTTTTTCTAACCCATGTTTAAATGATTTAATTGCAACTGAATGTTTGGAAGAATTAATAGACATTGAACTTGATTTTGTACTTACCATTGTGCACATGAATGCAAGTACAAAAATTCAGACATTCTAGTTGTGTTCACGTGCCCCCAGACTTCTCAGACGTACCACCAGTTGACAATCATTGGCCACCCTCATGTTCTGGAACGCTACTTTACCTTTTTAGCTATGATACTGAGAGCCTTTGCCCTATCCACATCGCTTTGTGAGTACCTCATATCTTTTCACTTCAACTATTGCCAGACCTGCTCAAACCTTCCGCATTGTCATGGCTTATAAGATGGCACTTGCTGCAGAGACCATCACGTTCTGAAATATGTATATTTTCATGAAATGTGTATTTACAATCTTTTAGTGGGATGTTATTATCATGTTTTTTATATGTTAGCTAGGTGATAAGGCACAATGTTTGATTTAATATTGTCAGCTATAGGATTAATTTAACAAAATGCTTTTTAATGTTTACGTATATGACATGTTCATATCTTCTAAGATGTGTTTTCTTTTGACACAGGTTGAATGACACTACTTGGCTCCAAGCCTGCCTCACACCAAAGTACAGACCTTCAGTTGTAATTGATTTTGATCATGATTGTAACAACACTTGGGCCTTGAATAAGTCTTGCTGTTTAGAAACAAAATTTGGCACATCAAAAATGGCATCTTACGTATGGAAAGTATTTCAGCATGTATATAATGTTTTGTTTTCCAGTTTGGTTTTTGTGATACTGTGAATGCAGAAGTATTGTGTCTTTGTATGGGATGTTTGTAAGCATATCATGCAGAGCAAGTACATTATTCCATATTAGTTTTCAGTTTGAATTTATTAATTATATCCCTCTTTAATGAATGCTCTGGAGCCATATTGACTCTGAATGTAATGTTCATAAGCATTATTAATAATATGGCATCTTGGCTAGTAAGAGTGTTCATATCATACAGCATAAATCAAGCCCTAGATTTTCACTGTAGTGACACACAACAGCATCTGTAAAGTTTAATTATCTGTGGAAATGAGCAGTGCAGGTGTCTACAATGCCAATTTGTAAGTAGTGAACTAAGTGTTAGTTCTCTAAGTTTGGTCATGGTACACTGAAAATATAATTGTCTCACTTTTTAGTAGATAATTGCATTCGTTTTGTGTTGGCATCAGTTTTAAAATTATCGGCATTCCTGTTTTCTACTTCTGCTATGAAACTTGAACATTGTTGACATCTGAATCTCTATTCATAGAAAACTATTTGTAATTAGCACTTCTGTGAACTCGTAATTTAAATTTCATATAAGGACAAAAACCAGTATAATAAAATATATATATTTGTTTTGCTATTTGCAGACGGTTTTGATGCTCCAGTTTATTCTTTTGTGGTAGATATTGTAACTATGGAAGTTCATGTGCATTTGTGCATGTGTATGCAGAACAATGATATGTAACTGCAGTTGGTTTTCAGTGTTGAATTGTAAGGGTTAGGATTTAATTATCTCAAGTTTCAAGACATGCCTTCAAGAACCTGCATTTTAACCTTTATTGTCTGTGTAGCCCACAGCTGACACATGCACTAGTTTTGCAGGCACCAGTTGTCTAATGTCACTTTTGCATTATAAATCCCATTACTCTCAAGGTTTAAGTCCAACCAATAAAGGTTCATTTTTATTTTTTGAACAGTCAGCCTGGAGTATCACAGATGCAGACACTAAGAAGAGAGAGAATTTTGGTGAAGAATGTTGATTTGAAAGCATGTGTTTCAGAAACAAATTATTATAGAAGTACAAAATTAATAATCCCTTTTTACAAAACAAATTTGAAAGACACTGTAGACCGAAAATATTCCATTATGGAAATCTTCAACATAATTTCTTTTCCTGATGTACAGTGCACATAAAATATGTTTGGTGTTTCAGAGTGTTATATTTTCATAACCGTAATATAACTTAATGAAAGAACCAAAGATGACGGCATAATCAGAATTTTTGTTAGCACATTTCCACATGGCCATCTGTTGTAATGCTGCATATAACATCCTGTCTTGGTCAAAACCTCTTTCTTTTTTTTTCTCTTTTTTTCTGAGACTAATGTGCAAAGACCACTTATCCAGGTATGTAATAAAACTTTGTATTTCATCAACTGTAAGAAGATGATTTTGAAGTTCTCCTGCAGGGTGGTGCACCACCCCATTTTAGCACCTTCTCAGGTTGTTGAATGGGTAGAAGTAGCCCTATTTTATAGCCTTGTATATCCCTAGATAAATGACCATTCGATTTCTTTTGTGGAGGTAGATAATTATTGCATTTTGTAGGGTCGCTGGTCATGTTGGCAGTGTTTGAAACATTAAAGCATAGAATTATGGCAGCTATTGAAACTATAATACCAGAAGTTCTCTGTGTTTGGGCCAAGGTGGAAAACCTCAGGATCAGCATCATTACAAGACCTGCATATTTGGAACTTTCCTGATCGAAATTCTATATGTGTTGTCATCATTTACACTTTTTATATGTCTTCGCTATGAAACTATAACATATTGAAACTCTGAATGTAATTTGCAGAGATCCTGTCATTTAGAATGTCTTACTTCACTCCATAATGTGTGTGTGAGTACACTTGTGTAGGTATTCCAGAACAGTGACTGGACTCTAATACATATTAGAAGATATGCCCGGAATGAGATTATGTGAAATATGTGAAACGTTAAAATTTAGAAATAAATTTAATGTGTGGCATATAGTTATGTGCAGAAAAGTTTAACTCCTCTTTATGTGTGCATTTGTTACTACTACGCCTAATAGTTTTCAAGACTTCAGGCAAAACGTTTGGGATTGTAACCTCCAAAATATCAGCTGCAAGGGGTTACTAAATGCACACATGATTGCCACAGGTACTGGATATTCAGTAAGTCTGGAACCACAGGCAATATTGGAGTTTTGACATAGCTGTTAAGAAAATACACTCAGCAAGTCCATCATTCACAACAACATGAAGATGAAAATGTTTTTGCCAGTCCAGGAGAGTGGTGTGAATTGTTTGTGGTGCCATCTTGCATCCTGCAGTAACAATCTCTGTTTGTCCACACAGGTGTGGATGACTTGGGGGGCCATTCTGGGTGATGTCTATGGAATGTTTTTGTAATTCACTGACTGACCTGCACAGCAACGGAATTCCTTTCACATAGTGACATCAGTCCCAGCTGAAAAAAAAAGAGAAGACATGTATTGCCTCAAACTCCAGACATATGGGACATTATGTAGAATACTCATTGAGGAAGGGTTAAGATATTGTTGTTGCAGGACATGGATTTTGAAATTCATTCCAGCAGTGTATTAGAAGTTCTCTTAAGAACACATTACAACTCAGAACAGTAAAAATCATTCACATGTCAACACACTGCTCTAAATTTAGTAATTTTAAGCCTTTATTATGCAGATAGAATAAGTCTGGAGTGCTCTGTGTCTAATGAAAGACATTTGTAATGAGGGAATGTAATTGCTATGTGCAGTATGTTCTTTCACACCCATTCTGCTGAACAGTTTCCAGTTGCACTCCAGAATTTGTGTGACCAAGGGATAATTGGACAAGTTGTTTCAAAACATTTGTGTAGTTTATTCTTCTTTAACAAGTATTTTTCTTGGTGTTGCAGCATTTAAAATTGTGTGTAAAATTCACTTGAAATTATCAGAATTACAAATAATGATAATCTTCGAATGAGGAACTTGAAAATTTAAAACTACTGAGTTTTGATAAATGTGACCAGTTGGTCAAACATACATTTTTACAATTAGAACTCTCTTCTCAGAAGTATGTACTAAATGTTTTACTTGACATTTAAATCAGTATTAACATTCACAGACATATTTTCCGTCCCATTATTTAACAGAGCTTTGGTCTGATGTGTCTGTACCGGAAACAGCAGTTGATTATCATAATTTTCTGTTTCAGTATGTTAAAGCTATAAGTGATAGAAAAGTACTGAGGTATTTATCCAGGTTTGCTGAATTACTCAGCAAACATGTATTCCTGTTTTATTAGTTTGATTTCATTAAATTATTGTTTGTATGTATATTTGTATAAAAATTTGGTAATGCTTTATTTAATTGCTTCAAAATATAGTATTCACAAAATTGAAAATACAGGGTGAGGATTGTGTTAGTATATGAAAGACATACCAAAGAGGCTTAAGAGTATGTAGTGGAGGAAGAAAACATAGATTTTTGGGAGCTACTACTGAATGATGCAGTAATGTAAATTTGTGATTAAACATTTTGGTATAGGTTCCTGCAAATCAAATTGAAGTTCATTAAGACTATGTAGCCATAATACCAGTAGTATTGTTTCCTTTGATGATTTACTCTATAGAACTGTGGTTGTAAAATTTTAGTGTTCTCTACAGAAACTAAATTTTATATTACATGTGAGATGACCCAGACTTCATTATAATCAAATGTTGATATTAGGCTCTCATGGTGGTTCATTGTTGATGTTAATTCTGTGCTTGGGTTTTTGCTTCATGTGGTTATGGGAAGTATTGCCATATTTTTGAGGTACGTGCTAGCCCGTCTTCAAGACTGAAGGTTGCATCTTTACCTCAATAGCACAGGTAACACTACTCAGTCACATTGTATAAAGACCCAAGAGCAGAATAAATGTGAATTAATGTTCCGTATGCAGGAAAATTTGGTTGCTGAAAAGATAGCAAGGAATTTATATTATAATATAGTTGCTATAAAAGAGTTTTCTAAAAGTTTTTAGTTTGGTTCCTATTATCTAATGTATTGAGGAAACTTGCCTTCTGATACATACCTCATGTATTGGAATTCATAGATGAAACCCAGTAAACATATTACATTCTTTTTTTCTTCATTTTTCATATATTCTTAGCTTCTCAGACATCTCCCACCCTTTTTTTATCATATTCTGTGGATAGCACCATGTTAGTATCATATGGATGTCCCTTGACAGTTGAAGTCAGCTCCTTTTAAAAACACTTAAAATTTATTTAATACTCGTCTTCTTTTGCTATTTTTTGTGTGGTATTCTGGACATGGCTGATTTTTTTCTGTCATGTTGTGTGTGTCAGATGGGAATTTTACTGTTGTGGATGGCTACAATTGGCAAGGTGCATCCCAGACATATAATGCTTATGTAAATATGCATATATATTGTAATCTCATAAGACAATCTCATGTTTTGTTCATCCAGTGCTTCTTTTTTCACCACTGTCCTAACTTTTTACTGATTAACATGTTTGTTGATTTCAAAAAAATGTTCCTGTGGTTCTCATCAGTTTTATAGTTTTACAGTAATGCATTCCATTTCCCTATAATGAATGAATGAATGAATGAATGAATGAATGTGCAGTACAAGGGTTGTATTTATGGTCTGTAGTTGTTCAGTGGTAGCCATATATTGGTGTTCTTTGGTTCTCAGTTCTCATATCTTGTTTCTTGTTTGTAAGTAAAAATATGAACTTAATTAATTTTAACTTTTCTTCATAATATATGAATTTAAGATACACAAAAGAAGGACTTGTTTCATTTATGAGCACAGAAGTATTTTCTGTTGGCTCTGGTAGCTAGAGATACCAGTTAAATAAATGCCTAATCCTCCTGGAATTTGAGGTTCACATTTTAAGATAAATAAATAAACTATACACACATTTTGTGAATATGCAACAATGTTGCATAAGAAATTGGTGTTGGTTTATTTATGCATAGGTTTCAATAAACTCAGTTGTTAACAATATTGCTAGGAATGAATAGTTGAACGCCATTTTTTATATATATCTGTGTATACATAATCTTTTTGTTCCATTCCTGTAGTGCAGGAGATGACTTTCTCATCTTCTGCTGTGGACACCTGTCTTTGATATGCAAGTGGAATATTAAAGAGTAAAATATGAAAAATTATCCTCAGTTATATAAATTAATATTGTATTCACTCAAAATGATTTTTTCTTACCAGCCTATTCTGAGTACAAATGGAAAATATTCAAGTATATGTTTATTTCATGGTGGAAGTTTAGGTCTCAGGTCAACCAAGATACTAGTTTATAAATTATACAGAAAATTTAAGTAAATTGTGATATTAGGAAGAATTTACTTATCTTAATTGTTCCACTTTCATGTTTTAGAACAGATGTAGCATTAATTGACCTCAAAACAAAAACATGAGAACAATAATGTATGAATATCAATGCTGGTGCCATTGTATAAAATAAATAATCTTTACTGTATCATTTTACAGAATTAAGATGGTAAAAATAATAATGTGAAGTGAGCAACATTTATGAATGTACTTATTCTTAGGAAAAATGAAAATCTGTGGTTTGAAACAGACCCACAGTTAATCTGAAGAAGATGGTATATTCTCTCTACTAAACCTCTGATTGCACATATATACATTGTGTGTTTGTTGTTGTACTGTAAAGCACTATTTGAGTACTGGAACAAATAGTAGCGTAGCTAGTTAGTTCCAACGAAGCAGAACTTTGGCACTTCATTATTGTAACCTTAAACACTAAAACTACAAAAAGTACTGAGTTGTACATTATAAATAGAATAAATTTAAAGGAAAAGAATGAAGAAGCGTGGTTGAGGTTCCATTTTCCATAATATCCTTCACTCAAGACTATTGGATGAATGATCCAGAAGAGAGGACTTGAATGGTGGGAAGCAAAAAAAAGCAAACTGACAGGTCACACCCTAAGCAGTATGGCCTGTTGTAAAATCCCTCACAGAAGAAAAAAGAATGGACTGAAGGCACCCCTTGCAATTCATGGTATCTTAAGCCCATATTTCATCTAATTGATAAAACTAACTGCAGACTGCTTAGAAAACCACACCACATGACTTGCGTGACCATGCAACCATTTTGATACATTGTGTGACTGACCATAAATTACAGGTTGTTGCTAGAGGTGAAGCCCAGCTGGTTGCCATCAATGAAGACGTCCATGTTAATTTCCAACCCAGTGATGTATCGAAAGAAATACAATCCTTGAAATTAAGAAATGCCTATGGTTTTGATGGTATTCCAGATGAATGTCTGCGGCAACTTTGAAGAAGGAATCTTGTTCATTTAACATGTTTATGTGATCACTGTGTCTTGCTTGGTAACTAAGACATCATGGAATGAACCAAAAGTCTTGGCCCTTCTGAAACCAAGTAAGGACTGAAAATTTCCCCTTTGTCTACTGCAGGTCAGCGTTTTGAGAAGCTGATTTCAAGAACCAACCAAAGAGACAGAGAAGAAGCGTCATAAGTCAGTTTAACTTTCAAGCATATCACAGTATGACACTTGAACTTAAAAGGCTGAGCAATCATGTCACCCTAAATTTCAATAATAATATGTCGACTGCTGCCTTATTCTAGCGTATTTAATAAGGCCGAAATAACTAAGTAATGCAAAATTATTTCATGCTGTGTTGAGAATGAACAAGTTTGCAAGTGATAGTGGGATAGTAGTTAACTTTCTTATCAATTGAGCCCCTAATCGTGGCTGCATGGCATGCGTTCTGCTTTCTTCCCACCAATAAGGTCAAAATCGGTCAAAATAGACGAGTGTTATGATTGGTTATGATTGTGTCAGATAAGCTGATGACTTTTTTTCGTGAGTAATTGTGATGATGTATGTACTTCAGGTAATTTTTAGAAACATATTTTACATGTCGCGAGTACATGTTTAGTAAATCGTGCTCCTCGGATTTCATAAAATGCTGGTAAGTTCTTAAGTAGCTGCACAATTGGCGGCTTCTCGATGGGTTCAGCTCCCTGAACCGTGAAATTAGTTACCTGCGTTGTCCACCAATAGCGTTGAGTTGCCATGCCTGTATATCGTAATCCGTAATTCTTGTATTCAGTGCGTCTAATGCAACGAGTGTGTGTTTCATTGTAATTTTCAGTGTTTCTAAAATGTGACTTGAGTACCATTTCTTTCATTTTTACAAATTGCAGTATTATATAAGAACTATTATTATTATTGTGTGGAGACAGAATGGAAGTTCGTATGGAAGGTATGCAAAGAGCCATTTTTAAAATTTGTGCTTGCAGCGTTGCCCCGAGAACATGTGGAAGAAAATTACTGACATGATTCTGCTATAGCTTCCTTAGTAGTGTTAATATTGTGGGCGTAATATGAAGTGCCTCCCCATCCTCCCCATGATCTGCCTATTTGGATAATTTGGGTCGATTTGGGTGGACCGTCTTGTTGGGCTGTTGTACATATCTCATCCCAAATACGTAAGGAATAATAAGGCGACGTTTACCTGTAACCGTATTTTAATTTTATGTGTAGTTTTTGGACCAGACCTACATGTGAAGTGCATGGGACTGAAAATTAAGTGCTCCATTTATAATCTCACCATTAACATATATTTGCAATTTGATCCGAGTTTTCGTGTATTTCCAGATTAGTAAAATTTGCCATAGTTAAACTTTGCTTTAAAAAAGGCAATATATAAGAAATCTCTAACTACAGGCCCATTTCGTTCTTGATTTCCTTTTAAAAAATTATTGAAAAACTCGTTTATTCAAGATTAGTCACTTATGTTGAAGCTAACAGTATCTTGGCTCAGGAACAATATGGATTCAGGGCTAATCTTTCAACTGAGAAGGCGCCATTTTCATTGATAATACTCGTAGTATTCTCACAGCCATGAATAATAAGCAGAATGCAGGAGGTATTTTTGTGGCCTGCAAAAGGCTTTTTATTGTGTAAATCACAAATATTTTTGGGATAAAAGGGGATCCTATGGAATGGAAGGTATATTTAAAACACTAATTAAATCTTATCTAACTGGTAGACATCAGAGCGTTGTTTTGGGTCATATAATTGATAGTAACAATACATCTAAGTGGGAAATAGTTAAATGTGTAGTCCCACGGGGCTCGATTCTCGGCCCTCTGCTTTCTTTATTTTATATAAATGATTTATCTAACATAATAAATAAGGATAATAACATGGTTCTATATGCTGATGACACCAGTATTATAATTACTGATACTAATAATCTAAACTTTGAAACAAATCTTAACCAAACTTTTAAAGATATAAACACTTGGTTTAATGTTAATTTACTTACTTAAAATTTCTTTAAAACTCAATATTTAGAGTTTCGGTCCATGAATTATAACACGACACAAATTAATTATGATCAGGAAAGTATTTCCAGTGTAAGAGAAACTAAGTTCCTTGGTTTGATTATTGATGATGTACTTGTATTATCTTGGAAACAGCATAATGATCTAGTGATCAGCAGATTATCCTCTGCGTGCTATGCATTCCAAAATATAAAACATATTGTATCATTTGCAACGTTAAGGCCAATCTACTTTGCTTATGTACACTCCNATAAAGGAGCCTATATAACAGGCATTAAATTGCTCACTCATCTTCCATGATCAATAAGGATTTTGGTCAGTGATGAGAAAAGCTTTAAATTTACATTAAAGAGGTTTTTATGTCATCATTCTTTTTACCCTATAAACAAATACTTTCAATATAAAGAAGACAAATCCAGACATTCTCTTGAATTGTTAGGTTGATTTTCCACATGATGTATTACCCACTGACTAGTCGCTGGGCGTTTAAGGGTATACATTTTATGGAAGTGTGGTACTGTAATAGACCTTCTGTTTAAATAACATATAACTGTATACAATTAAGATGGTCATGAATGGTTTACTCACAGCTCATTTCCTTTTATCCTGTAGAGGAATATGTTAATAGTTTTCAAATTTTAAGGTTCTTGCTATGAAATGACTGATTGTATATACTGAATTTTTAGTGTATATTCTTATTTTGAAATCCTGATGAAATGTACTATATTTGGACTGTTAAATTAAGTATTTGTAGTTATGTGGTTGAAATAATTGCATCAAACTTCTATATTATGAATAGGTGTTTTGTATTTATATATGATGGTTACAACGATAATCATATATCTACATAAATTTGATCATATTTGAATATTTTATGTACAAATCTTGATTTGTGATTGTATTGCATGTTAATGGGTTCAATGTTTTTATGTATGTGTTTATGTATTTTGACATGTTCTATATCCTATGGCATGCGTGACCTGAAAAGGATCTATGAAATTTAAAATAGAGTGAAAGTGAAAGTGAAACATGATTTACTTGGCCAGAAAGCAACATCATATGAGGGTGCTGTAGCAGGAAGACTGTTGCAACTTCCAGTAGCCAGTCTGCAGAGTGATGATGTTGCAGCGTTTTTCATATTTAAGAGTGTGTCACGTATATGTGAAGCATGAGATGCTAGCTCCTTACATATTTGACTTATTTTGAACCAATTAGGCGATTCTAAAAATATGTCATGAAGTGGACCATTGTGATTGCATCTTAAGCCCCCAGATTTCAAGAAGTGAAATAATTTTGGCAGAACTTTGCCAAATACTGATTTAAAATAGATTAATAAACTGTTCAACCAGCGTGTATTAAATACTTAAGTATGAATTACACTGAGAAAATATAAATGTATACAATCTTATTGTTCAGTACAGTCTATTAAGCTGGCTCAGTTAGTGAATGAATGCATAAGGGGTGGGCCCTTCTGGCCCTTGTGCTGCGACCTTCAGTGATCTGTTGTGCTTCCCCTTTTTTATTTAACCTTTTATCAAACCAGCACTTTGAATGAAATGTAGGTCTTTGTTTATGGGGGCGTCATAATAATCACTTGTATATGATAAAAACTGGCCCAAGTGACAAAATCTTAAGGATGTGTGTGGCTGGTTCATCTTTTTCTAGGCACTGTTCGCATGTGTGGTCTTCTGTTAGTCCCAGTTTGAAAAGTGTCCTTTTAGGTGACAGTGTCCTGTAAACAGTTCTATCACCCATCTTAATTGGTCACTGTTTAGTTTTAACATATCCTTCATTCTTATTACAGAGGGCCCAAGTGTAAGTCCCTTTGCCGCCTCTCTGAGTACAGTAACGGATTCCCAAGGTTTTTTTTTTTTTTTTTTTTTTTTTTTTTTTTTTTTTTTTTTTTTTTTTTTTATTTCTGTTCGTCCTGTCTGTGACCACTTTCTGGGCAACTCCAATTGAGATGCTGCAAGCTGGTTCAGGTTCTGTGAACAGCTGTTCAGATCTTGTTCTTGCCAGCTGATCTGCGGTTTCATTCCCAGCAATACTCTCCTACTGAGATGCCGCAAGCTGGTTCAGGTCCTGTGAACGGTTGTTCGGATCCTGTTCTTGCCAGCTGATCTGTGGTTTCATTCCCAGCAATACTCTCCTACTGAGATGCCGCTAGCTGGTTTAGGTCCTGTGAACGGTTGTTCAGATCCTGTTCTTGGCTGATCTGCTGTTTCATTACCAGCAATACCCTCATGACCTGGCACCCATATCTGTTGAACTCTGTTATGCCTGACCAGTTTGAGTGATTGATTGCAGTCCCAGACCCATTTTGAGGTGATCTGGTGTTTATGAAGTGCTTTAATTGCAGCTTGACTGTCTGCTAGAATATAGATGTTTCTGTTTCTATAGATCCTATCTAGATTCTCAACAGCGCATGCCTTAATGGCCATACACTTCTACCTGGAGTACTGTTGTGTACTTCCCAAGGCTAAAACTAATAAGTTTCCGCCTTGTACCATGGCAGTACATCCCAGCTTCAGTGCCTTTATTTGTCTTGGAACCATCTGTATACCAGATTAGTCCCCCTCTTTCCATTCATTTCTATCAGGGAATCTGTCTGTGAAAGGTTTATCATAGACATGTCTCTGTATCATTTTATCAGACCCCATCTGTAGGATGGGTTCTTTTTCCATGTCCTGAGTCATGTCTGCCTGTCCAAAACCTTTAGATTTGGGTCACTGCAATGAAATGTGTAATTTCCTGCCTTGGCCTCCACTTCTACCTGCAGGTGTAATGGGGGGGAGGGCGTCCAAGGAGGACTTCAGTTACAGCTGTTGGAGCTGTTCTCATTGCTCCCACAATTCCCAAGCAGGCCGTCCTTTGCAATTTGCCTAGTTGAGCCTGACTTTTTTTAAGTTTAACTCTAGGCCACCATACAGTGGCAGCATAGGTAATTATGGGTCTTACAGCATTGTGTATCCAGTACACCGCCTTTGGTTTCAGTCCTCAGGTTTTCCCGAATGTGCCTCTACATGTCCAGAAGGCCTTATAGGCCTTGTTGACAACCTTATCCGGCTGCTTTTTCCATGTCAGTCCCTTGTCTAACGTTAGTCCAAGGTACTTGACGTCACTGGATAGCTGGATCGTTTTGCCTAAGAGATTGGTTCCTTAAGTCCCTTTATATTTCTCTTCTTAGTAAAGGGTATAATTACCACAAATATAGTGTTTTTGGACATTATCCATTGTCTTGTCTTTATCTAAAAACCGTCCTATTTATTTTTCAAAACGTTTTGAAGATTGGATTCTGTCTCCATCTTCAGGTAACACCTACTTGGTTGGGCCCAATCGATAGAGCTGGTCCCTGTCTCCGGACGAGATAGGAACTAGGGACTGACATTGCCCAGTGGGACCACAAGGAGGTGTCCCAAACCTGTGCCCCGATGCACCTCCTGGTCCGTGATGCGCCCCCACCAGAGATACAGCCATAGTTCAGCAAACCTCACTGAGGATGGCATTATTACTACCTGTAACGTATGACCTTAAGTAGGTCATAGTTACTCGCACATAACTCTAATTACAGTTGAATTAATATAAGTGGATATTACAGAAATAAATCAGACGCTTTTCTGTTTCCAGAGCAAAATGTGGGTGCCTTTGGACCCTTGGAATTTTCCCATCCTTCAGAAAATGTGTACAGTTACTCCTTCAGAAGTGAAGTGGCGCATTGTCTCTTTTGCTCAGACATGTTCAAGCTACCAGAAGAGAGAACATATTTTTCAACTCACTTGTTTGTACATCATCAGTTTGAGATAGCAGATATGGAAATGATTGCCAACATGAGCAAGTAAGTAGTCTGTTGTGTTAAAGCAAAGAAGGTCTGGGCTGATTGTACATTTAATGTGTCAATTAATTTTTTGACTTTTGTGTTTCTTTCAGAGAAGGCGATGTGACTGTTTACGTTTAATGCCGGTTTGTCTGATTACAAATTATTACTGCCTGACTTTTGTACAGAATTTTAAGCACCACTGAATAAAGTAGCATATGTACTCTAAGTAAAAGTAAAGCTATCCCTGTAACAGGCCGTGAAGGGTTGTGAGACAAGGGTCCCACATTACCTTGACAATTGGTTCAGAGATGGCGGTAAGGTTGTCAGCCTTATGTGCCGGCCGCGCTTCACTCCCCAGGAAAATCATTTAATTAATTCCTGATACTCGTTTCTGTTAGAGGCTGAGTAAACCCCAGGGCTTAGTGCGGCCAGAAGGATTAGGTCAATTGAAAACAATCCAGTGACCTCATCAGGACTTGAACCTGCGACCATCTGACTTGTAGCATAGTACCTTAACCACTACGCTACCACGTAGCTAACCTAAGCGAGCCGTGTATTGCTCTGCATGAGCAGTAAAATTTACCAGACTACATGGTGTCATATTCTAAAGGAAAGTACTCTTTGAGGTTATATATATTTAATTCTTCCTTACAGTAAAAATTTTTCACTTATGCAGAAATTAGTTAAATTCTGGAAGATAAGAGAGGGCATCTTCTGTGTGCCAGTGAAGCTGTTATATTTTCACGACTGAGTTGAGAAATTGCCACCTTGGTGGCAAACGTTTCACTTGTGGCAAAGAGATTGAAACATAGGTGCAGAAGTGGCTGAGACAACAGTCAAAAGACTTCTATGCCATGGATTTCGACACACTCGTAAAACAATGGGACAGGTTTGTGAATGTTGGTGGAGGATATGTAGAGAAATAAAGGTTGGAATATCACATGTTTTACGTTTTATAGTCATTTGTGGCCTCCTGCTAATTCCCCCTCATAATCTCATCCTACAGTAAGGTTTTTGTGTACTAATTGTAGATACGAGTAATGATGTGACAAATGTTGTCAGGTACTGCAACTATTGGAGGTCGCGATTTCTTGCAGAGCCACCCAACAAGATATGTTCAAGGATGTTAATTGATGCCAAAGGTGATGGAACATGTGTGAACATTCTTGTGCTTGGAAAATTTATACCTGAAGACAAGAAGCTGAGAGAAGATTTGCATAATAAACAAATGGTTAGTGTCATGTGAGATGTTTCAGGTTGAAGATACTGTCCATTCATATGGAACTCATTCTCCCAGTATATTGGATTCTGTTTAGCGTAATTGGTTGAGGCACTATGCTACAAGCCGGAAGGTCGTGGGTTCCAGTCCCTATGAGGTGGAAGTGGACCTAATCCTTCCAGCTGCACTATGGCCCTGGGATTGACTCAGCCTCCAACAGAAATGAGTACCAGGAATCTTCCTGGGGGGTTGAGGGCGACCAGCTCGTAAGACTGACAACCTTACCGCTGTCTGTGAATTGATAGTCTGGAAGACATTGCAGCCCCGACCTCTCACACCCCTACGGGCCTTCATGGCGTCTTACAGGAACAACTGTGTCTTTTTCTTATTATGTAGACATGTAATATTGAGGTGAGTGATTATATTGAACCATTGTAGACCGAAGTACTCTCCTTAGCTTCTTCAGTCTGCTAAATGCCCTGAGTTACAGGGCTGCTGCTCAGAAATGAAAGGCAAAATACTGTTCTTTTAGAAGAACACAGCAACACAATAAACATTTACAGCTTTTTATCTTGCTCGCAATAAACCTTTTAGTTGTGTAGAACAGTCATTGATTCATAACTCTTCCTGTTCGTTGCTGTGTAGGATGACTACTTGTGAAGCTGTAAGAGTCAACATTTGCCTACCACCTTTTCTAGACAGACAGCTCACAGATGGCAGAGAGCCTTAAGTGTTGGTCTCTCTTTACCCCCAGGAATAAGTAAATAATTAAGAGAATGAATTATGTATTGACTTTGGTGTACATATGAAACTGGAGTGGTTAATTAAAAGTAATGAAACCTATAACGAACTGTTTAAATGTAAACATATGTGATAAATTTCCTATTTAAAATTGTCTGAAAGAAGCTGGTGCTTCATTGCCCTTGCTTCTCAACTGTCCTATAGAATAAGCTGTTAAGGAGGTCCAGGGCATGTGGTAGTGTAGTTGGCTGAGGCACTATGATACAAGCCAGAAGGTTGCGGGTTCAGGCTCAGGTACCAATGAGGTGGGTTTTTTTTTCAATTGACCTACTCCTTCCAGCCGCACTGTGGCCCTGGGGTTGAATCAGCCTCTAACATAAATGAGTACTAAGAATCTGCCTGGGGCTAAAGGGCGGCTGGCGCGTAAGACTGACAACCTCACTGCCATCTGATAGCAGATTGTCTAGAAAATGTGGGAGCCTTAACATCATACAACTCAGTGGACCTCCACAGCTTGTTACAGTGATAGCTTTACCTTTTATCCAGAATTTTATTGGAAGGCCGAAGGGAAGGAAAACACATGAAAGAGCCACACATAAATGGAAAGATAATATTATAATTAATTGTAAAAGGAAGTTCCAGGGAGAGCTTATTCACCTTATCTATGCAGCGTGCATCGCATAGAATACAGTGCATCCAATAATTCCTCTATTATTGTGTGTGTTTCCACAGGAATGCGTTTACCAAGCTGTTGCTTGGTGAAGTTTGGGGGGGATACACACACAGAGCAAGGTGATATGATGAACCTACTTTTATTTTTTTATTTGAAATAAGAAAAAGTATGCAAACAACATTTGGACTTCTCTGCACATTCACAATAGTATAAAGGCTGTTGCATATCAATGGCAGTAACATGTTTACAGCTGTTGCCTAGCAGTGGCCGTCTCCTCTGTCTTTTGGGTGTCACACTTAGTGGTCTGTCCTCGGTTCAGTTCGATGTATTATGTAGGTGTTCAACACAGACAGTATTCAGTTTGTCAGAGAGAGGAGGAGGAAGTCGGCTGTCCCCCGTAATCAGAGTAAAGCTGCTAGAAAGCTATTCCTGCAACAGGCCATACAGTCCCATAGGGTTGTGAGACGTAGAGGCTCCCACATTTTATGTAGGCAGTCAGATCATAGATGGCAGTGAGGTTGTCAGCCTTACGTGCTGGCCATCCTTTACACTCAGGAAGATTCCTGGTACTCATTTCTATTAGAGGCTGAGTCAGCCCCAGGACCATAGTGTGGCTGGAAGGACTAGGTATATCATTGGGACTTGAACCTGCAACCTTCCAGCTTGTAGCATAGTGCCTCAACCAACGATACTACTACGTGCCCCGCTTAGTCAGAGTGCCTGAACTGAAACGCTGAGCCCTCCTCTTGTTGGAAGAGTAGATCCCTGTTGCCTAGGAGTGATGGGTTGCAGTATAGACATACTGACAGACACAAAGAAACACAGGAAGGAGATTGCATAAGCCTACTCTAGGAAGATAGGCTAAAAAGCAGAGTGCAATGGTTGTGACAATAGTGAACTTTTGTTCTCTCATAAAACTCACGGGGTTTCTTGAATAGGAAACCAACTGTTAGCTTCTAAAGAAGAGATGAGTTAAGTAGATTGTTGGGTGTGCCATAGCTCAAGCGGTTAGTCGCTGGCTTCCCTCCGCGGCAGCCCGGGTTCGATCCTGGGTCTGGTCAAGTGGGATTTGTGGTGGACAAAGTGGCGCTGGGGTGGGTTTTCTCTGAGTACTTCGGTTTCCCCTGCCAATCTTCATTCCACCAAATTCTCTATCATCATGATCACCCGGGGCAGGTACAATAGGCCAATCAGCGGCCACCGTGGCGAGTGGCCCCAGCTGGACTCTCCCCACTAAGCAAATTAAAAAAAAAATAAGTAGATTGTTGGATGATTGTCTGGAGAGACAGGTGAAATAATGAAAATCTTGCACCAAACCCTTGATGTACTGACTGGAATCCAGAGTGGTTACTGCCTATGAAGTAGGTTTCCCATCTGTTCCCACGCAGGTTTGGGTAGGAAGAGCGGCCATTTAACTTATGAGTGTGTTACAAAGAATGGTATACGACTTCTGTGTTTTGTCTTTGCAGATGTGGGTTTTAACACAAAAGATCAATGAGAGGGAGGACAAAAATTTTTCACGAAAATGCTTGCTATGTCGGCTGCAGTTCAAGGGATGTCGTGCAGATTATCTGTCCCATCTCTCTCGTTTGCACAACATGCAACTCGGACAACCAGAAAATCTTGTGTTTATTGATGATTTATTGAACTGTATAGAAACAAGACTGGAAAGGTAAAGAGATTTCCCCCCCCCCATTTTATGTTCTTTTCAAGATTAATTATGAGTGTTGAATTCAGGACTTCGGATGCATTGGCCATGTGTTGTATGGCATAGGAGAGATATTTATATTGTCATGTGTCAGTGACTGCACATGGGGTTTGGATTGATAATTGCATTTATTGAATGTTTATGGCTCACACTCACTGATCTACACACACTACCAGTCACTACAGCGCACACTAAGTTTTCCCACTCTCTTATGTCTTCACTAGTCATTGCTAGATGGCAGCTGTTAACAGTGGGGCTTCCTCTACTTCCATGCTTATGGCCCGCAGCTAACTGCCAGCTGTGACTACTGAGTTGTGACTCACTGTCTATTGGCCCTTGATGTATAGCCTTTTCATGGGCTTTCAGCTGTTCTTCTGTTGTTGCAGGAATATGCTTACTGAGCCATTGCCTAGCAGTGGCAGTCTCTTCTGGTTCCACTATTCTGGCTGTCAGCCATCATGTTACAGTACTGTAATTGGCAATAATTATGAAGCAGACTGGAGCCAGTAATGCTCAGTGAAGGAATCTGTGTTTCTCTATAAGGGGCATCCTTCTAGTGTTACCATTCTACTGAGGTCACATGCATGCAATTTTGATGGGTAATTTTGTAGGTTACTGAAAGTGAGGGGTTAGAAGGAATGAAACAACAAAACAATACTTTTTATGGTCTCTTTGACCACAACTTTGGATCATCCCTGGTTAAGGAGTGGAGCAAATACTATTTCAGTGACAGTATTTTATTACCCCCCCCCCCAAAAAAAAACAAACAAACAAACTCCTTGGCTTTTAGTCTGCAAGTGAACTATACTGACCGAACAACCGCCACTTTTCAGCAAAGTTAGTGGCAACTTTTGTGGATAGAGGGTGTCGCATGGTCAGTGCAACAGATCCCCACAGCCGTTAATCTCAGTTTTCTAGACCAGAGCTGCTACTTTCCCATTCAAGTAGCTCCTCAAGTAGCTGAGTGGACCCTGTTACAGACCCACCACTTCTCAGAAAATCTGGTAGCACTGGGAATTGAAACCAGGACCTCTGGATCTGTAGGCAGGAACTCTGACCAGTAGACCACAGAGGCAGCCATGTAATTAACATATGAAAGAATACAAACAGTAATGAGACCACAACTTACACAATGAACATTTGTCTGTACAAACATGACAACAGATCTAGGGGTGACTGTTATATGGCGGGATGGGTAGCAGGTTACAAGGCTAAGATGAAATGAAGTGGTCAAATAAAGTCAACAGTCAGCCTGACAGGTAGGGATAGTTATATCCATGTAACAGGTCTTAGCAACCCATAGGGTTGTGAAACAGAGGATCCCACATTTTATCTAGGCTGTCAGATCACAAATGGTGGTGAGGTTATTAGCCTTACGTGCTGGCTACCCTTTACCCCCAGGAAGATTCCTGGTACTCATTTCCGTTTAGAGGCTGAGTCAACTCCAGGGCCATAGCACGACTGGAAGGATTAGGTTAATTGAAAAATTCAGTGACCTCATCGGGAATCAACCCCACAACTTTCCAGCCTGGAACATAGTGTCTCAACCACCTATGCTACTGTGTGGCCCCCTCTCCAGGATGGCGCATGGTATAACGACTGGCTATGGGCTAGATGATCGAGGGTTTGGAGTCCAGATGCAGCCAACGAATTTTTACTTCTCGGTTTCGTTCAAACTGGCTCCAGGGCCCACATCCAAAATTCACAGCCTAGTTAAATACCAAATTATATCTCCTATCCAATGGGTACCGAGGCCCCCCCCCCAAGGATGGGCGGTAAAATGGCTGGGGTGTGAAGCTGACCACTCACCTCCAACTAGTGCCGAGGTCAAGAAAATGTGGGTCTGTACATCCACTCTTCTGTATACATTTTCATGGTGTAGTGCTTAATTAGTTAAACACAAGGAAAAATAGTAATTGTATTTGTATGTGTGCATGCGTGCATGTGGGGTGGGCAGGCACGTGCACGCAAAACAGTTTCTTTAGCTACTTAACAATAGAAAGTGTTTCCCCCCCCCCATAATTGTATACAGCTAAGTCCTATAGGAAGATGGAACAGTTTTCTTGGTATAATTTTTCCTAACCCCAATTGTGTGAAAACTTTATTGAGTGTAACATGAGCCAGTCTCCCTGAAATACATTAAATAGTGATTTCAGTGTAGGTAGATTTCTGACATTTGCGAAACATGTGTTCTCAGAAACAAGGTATGTGTAAACACTTTTATAATGATAATGTTTGAATCAGGAGCGTAAACTGGTTGCAGAATAGCAAATTATTTACTGTGTGCTGTTTTATTCTACAGTGAATTTCTATTTCATGTGTTTTGACAGTTTGCATTGCCTGTTTTGTAACAAGTTGTTCAAGAATCAGACTGTTCTGAAAGAACACATGAGGAAAAAGCAGCATAAGAAAATTAACCCTAAAGACACTGAATTTGACAAATTTTATATCATAAATTATCTTGAAATGGGGAAAAATTGGCGTCAGGTGAAGGTAAGCTCATATCAAGGTTTGCATATATTTTATATCATTTGTGTGTGTGTCTATTATTAACTTGTTAATCTGGCTTGATGTGAAGCTATAAGAATTGTGGTTAACCCATTTAATATCCTGCTGCAATATCACAAAAATTATATTTACTTCTGTTGAGTACAACAGAAATATGTAGACATTTTGACAAATATTTTTCTTGTGATGTTTTATATTTTGTTGAGGTTTGTTTTCTACTGGTGAGGCAGTCTTGGGAAATGTGCCACTCTGGTCATAACTTGTCCTTGCCTGTTTTCAAGCAAGGTAATTACAGTAGCTGTTCATTTGGGCTGAGGTAAAATTCCACTGAAGTCTTTCCTAGCACCTTTTTACTGCACTCAGGATAGTGCAGTCAGTATATCTGTGGGAAGGACAGTGGAGGGGTCAGGTTTTGAGTCCCAGGAGGGTGAGAAATGCATCCTGTTGTGTGTTTGTTGCTGTATATATGTTTTTTTCCTTCAATAATTTAACATTTATATATTGTATTGCCTGATGATGGCTCCACGAGAGCCGAAGCATGTTGCGACGTTATTCTCTAAGCCAATAAAAACTCAATTGACACGATACAATAAAAGTGAGTTATTTTTATTGATTGTTGTGTTTGACAGGTATACCAGAAAAAAAAAATGAAGTTCAGTGTCATTTACCAGTAGACAAGTACTGCATTTTGAATCTTGTAAACTGATCGTTTTTTGTATGAGTCCCCAGTGATGATACTGTGATACATTCTCTTGCAGAATGAACCAGATGATGATGATGATGATGATGAATTATCCAATGCGGAAAATTCTGACAGACGTGTCAGTGTTGGGAACTGGTCTGATTGGGAGGAAGATGAGGACAAGGTTGAGAATCCAGTGGTGTGCCTGTTCTGTGAGAGATCTTCGAGCTTTGATGAGATACAGAGTCATATGAATAATGCCCATGGTTTTGACTTCACAAGAATCTCTGTTGATATGGATTTCTACCACCAGGTGACTTGGTAATTTTACTGTGTCAGCTTATTGTCATGCAGAGGAAGCTCTCGTACTTCCCCCTCGTACCCCACAATCATGTATCTTGTATACTGCTCCATTAATTACATATATTTTAGTACATAGGAAATGATAATAAATTACGTACTGTTTGTGTGTGTGTGTGTTGTGTTATATTGAAGTCACTAATTTGTCTGAAACTTGTGCAGCAGAGGCATTATGTGCTGGAAAATGAAACTGTATCAGTTTTTATTCAGTATTTAGGTTCACCAAGTAAACATGTCGGTTACCTCACAGGACATGTACTTTCTTCTTGATTTTTTCTGCACTTCAACCGTAATGAAGAACAGATATTTAATAGAAATCCTGGCCCATGACCTTCTTAAAATTAGATCTGTCTTTATAATAGTTCAGAAAACTTACCTCAGTCACTTGGATTGTGACTGTCAGTCGATGAAACCATGCTACATTTCAGGGGTAAATGTGATCCAAACAATGCAGGCTTTCTAGGCCCACTGCCAAGAAGTGGTATGTAAAGGTCTGATCCTTAAGTGATAGTAAGGCTGGGTTTCTCTCTAAATGTGATGTTTGCACAGGAAAATCATATGGAGCCTGCAGATACTGCTGAACTGCTGTGGGACTGAGTTGCTTTGAAATTGTTAACATGAGTTTGAGAGCAAAGACATGTTATTTCTTGTGACTTCATTTCCAGTCCTTCCCTCTTCCAGAGTGTGAAAACAAAAGTCATCTGTGTCTGTGTAAAGGATTAGTAGGAAAGGTCTGCCCCCTGACATGTTGCCACAAATATATAAAGCGAAAAGTTTTGACAAGACCCAGGATGAGTGATTCATCCCTGTGCATATAGAACTGAACTGGTGCAAGTACAGTCTAAAAAAGGGGAAAATCGATTTTTGCACTTTGGGTAAACCAAAATTGGTGCCACAGAAGAACAAGGATTTTTGAACAGAATAGATACATTTGATGAAATAGCTAACAAGTATGTACATAAGAACGTAAAGTGGTACCATCCCCTCTGGTATGTGGCTACAGGGAAGAGAATATCTGTCGTTACCTATCATCGTGCAGTGACTGAAGGACTTGCAGAACATTATGATGTCAGAGCCTGCTAAGAAGGAAGAAACTGATGATCTGTTACCCGAATTCCACTTCATATGAAAATTCTGAAATACATTTGAGCATTGTTTCACTGTCCACCTTGTCTGGGAGAGCCTACACTGTGTTGTTATCCATTGTTTTGAGATGTACCACACAATCAGAGACTACAAATGTTTAGACTGACTTTCATCAAGTGCTAATGGTAGAAGAAATCAATTTCTAAAAGTTGTCGGTTTTAAATTAAGATTTCTTTTTCTTCATTTATTTACGCGACAGAGACATTTTGAGCTAACAAAAATTGTGCAGCAAAAGAGTTAATAAGTTAGAGGGCTCTCCAGCATAATAGTTCTCATGATGAATAGCCTTACATACATTGCTCTTGTCACATATAATTTCTGGACTTTTGGATCACTGTAAATGCTCTCACCTCAAAAATTATCATGGCTTTGGAGTTATCAATGTTAATAGCAGCCTCCGTAGTCTAGGGGTAACGTTCTCACCTCATGACTCAAGGTATGCGGGTTCAAACCCGGTGGAGGTCGTGGAATTTTTAAGGGCGGAAAAATTCAGGGAACAAGTCCTCCGGGAGGGACTTTAAGCCGTGGGTCCCATGTCATAGATTTACGCCACGTAAAAGATCCTCTGAGCAAAATTAGGCAACAGTTTCCTGCCCAAGTAGTTTCCAATGCCTCTGGTAGATGGGGGAAATATCAGGTACCGACGGCCGACCTCGTTGGCTGAACGGGGCTGATAGTACGCACCAGTACCGGTAGGGTATGGCAACATTAGAAAAAAAAGGGGGACGCACAGTGGACCAATAACTGGTCTAAGTGCATGGGGAAACCCACCCCCTCTAATAATAATAATAATAATAATAATAAAAAAAATCAGTGTTAATGACATGGTCTAGAACATATGGAGTCAGAGGAGCCTTCGCCAACTTTGATTTTTACTGATGTTTTCTTTGAAGATCAGACAGTTCATTTAAAAGTCATTAGACATATGCATACAGATACACAAAACTGCATACAACTCAAGCAGCATGTGTGACACTTTTTATATTTTTGCAGCAAGCCTTAGAAGGCTTTAGAGGTGTTAAGGAAGTGAGTCTGGTAGGGTAGAAGTTCCTCTGTGACTGTTGCTTTTTGTCTCTGTCAGATTTTATATTTTGTTTCTGTTGTACATACAGTAATTTTGTGTGTACAAAAGCAGTTCATCATATGGTATGTGATGTTTCCAGGTGAAACTGGTGAATTATGTCAGGAGACAGGTATATATGGGCCATTGCCCATATTGCGATAAGATTCTTCCAAATAGACGAGAGTTACTTGAGCATATGTCTATGGAAAGCCATTTTATTGTGCCACAGATGCAGCTTTGGGACCAGCCAGAGTAGGTACAACGTGTAAACATTATTTACCGCAAATATTTGAGTGACGCTTGTAGTGACCTCACGCAGACTTTTACAAGCAACTCAGCCTTTCTCCATAGCATTCATGAATTCAGGCAAGTTTTCTGGGGCCCTTCATTATGCCACTTGACAGTTCTCTCTCACATTTATCGGCAATGTGGGGAAGTTGGTAGCAGTGTGAGGAGTCTCGTCAAGCTATTTCAGAGGACTCGGTTGTTTTGGGGAAAAGATTTATGGTAAATGAAGCTGGTGCATGTCTCAAATTTTCAAGGGAGAATCAAGAAGAAATTTCATTCTTGATTTGAGAGTTTGAAATTTTGAGAATTCTTAGTTAACTGCCTGCATTGTGTAGGGTATCATACAAACATTTGATCTGTCACTTTTCAACCAAATCTCTTTCTCCTCGTGTCTCTGCTCATGGTGGAAAAGGGACGTGGTCTTAGGATTGAATTTTTTTAAACACAACAATTTATATAAATCTATCATTGAAAAAGGATATCATATTAAAAGGCAAGAACAGTACATTTGAAGTCATTGGGAAAAAGTGGCTAATATCGTAAATTTTAATTAGAGTAAAAAGAATTGGTCGAGTAGAGAAATATTATTATTCTTGTCTCTGTTCTTGAAATGTTTTCAAATTCATGTCTAAAACTGAAAAAGTCATTTGCACATGTATTGTTCTACTGGACCAAATGATAGGTTAAGAAATTAAAGATGACCTATATGCAGTTCAAACTTTACTTATTCGTTAAACACCAGACCAGTTGTTTATATAACCAATACTGTAATGAAAAACAAAATTGCACTTGTTATGCTCTGTGGGCATAACGTTTTTCTTTTATAAAAATCTCCTTAAGCATGTGGTGTGAAGGCATAACACCGAACGCAGAACAAACTTGGCAAGTTGTGGTAACTACAAGAAATGCTGATTCATGGACCTTTATGACAAGTTGTGACTTGTTACAGTAACACAGGCTCATAGAAGCTGACAGAAGTGTCTAGACACAAAATGTTCATTGACCAATAGGTAGAATTGGTGGTACAGTGAGGGGACTAATGTTAACAGAAGAGGGGAAATGCTGACGACAAGAGGCTCACAGCCGTTTGTAAGCAAAGTCCTCCAAACACAAGGGAGAAACATACAAAGGGAGTAGAGAGGAGTTCCTGGGGGAGACAGGGGTGTGGCACATCACCATGAGTAGAGTTGTTACAATCAGAGGTCAGTCCTCTGCCAAAGGGGAGACAAGGGGCTTCATTCAGCATTCACTGTTGTGAGGGTGTTGCACCATAATGGAGAAGTTCCTTATACTTTTTGTTCTGATATTGCTCACTTAAGCCAGTGAGTTAAACTGCTGAACTTGTATTGTGCTTACCCCCTGTAACCCTTGTTATCAGCAGGGCCTGGATTTTGATGTCATTTTTTTTTTCTTGTATCCTATGTGATGCTCTTAAATATATAAATCTCGGATATGAGCTGCTGCTTACAGAAATGTAAATTTTATAGGTAATTTTTTGTCATTTTTTGACATTTTTAGGTTTAAAGTAATTTTTTGGTAAATTTTTGGACTTTTAAGGGTATTTTTTGTAATTTTTGGCCATTTTAGGGAATTTTTCTTCATATGTTTTCTGAGACGTGAATAATATGGAAGCGAAATGTTCTTTCTTTTCGCCTTTAGGTAATTTTTCTGGATTTTTTCAGCCATTTTTTTAATATTTTCAGGTCATCAGAATCCGGGCCCCGGTTATCAGATACTATAGTGACAGCATCAGTTGGTCACCTATCCCCCTACAGGGCATTACAGTACTATTTGAGACATCTGATTCAAAAAGTTATAAAAAAAAATACATCACTAAATGTGAAAAGAAAATTAATTTCAAGCCATTTCCTAATAAAGCATGGTTCATGTAACCAGAAGCACATACTAATTTCCAGTTAACCTGTTTCTAATATTTTAATGTCACAAAATGAATTATCACAGTATTGACCATGTTTTTACACAGTTAAATTTGTTACGAAGTGTGTGTTTTGCAGGTATTTCTTTCCTACGTATGAGAATGACAGTTTTCTGTGTCATCTGAATGACCACCAAGATGACATGGCTGAACTGCATCTGTCCAAGAAAATGTAAGTTTTGCTGAAGTGTGTTTGGTAAGAGTACCCAGAAAATTCAGGAGATTAATAAATAATTACAGTGAACATAAGTGGTATTTGTAAATTTGTAAATTAAAGGAAGATGATTTTCTTGGTAAATTCTTCATGTTTGTTATATGAGGTCTTATCAGAACTTTTATAGGGAAACGAAGTACACAACATATTTGGTAAATGGTGTACATCTCTACTTTAATTGAATATCAGTTCTGTAAACATTAAATACACCAAAAACACATATAAGTAGCCCAGTATGCTCGGTTATAAGGCTTACCATCTTCTGTATACAAACCATTCTGGCTTATGTTATTCATATGACTTTCTGTACAGCATAAATTATTACACACTCATATATTAAAATGTCTTAAGAATTACCCGTATTTTTCGTCAAACTTATGTACAGTAAGTGTATCCTGCCAATATAGAGTGAAGTCTGATATAACTAGCATAGCCAAAGCAAGAGATCCATTTTAACAAGAATCTCACTACCAATATCCCACTTTTGAAGTCAGTTTGTCACAGTCTTATCGACTATAGACGGTTTGGATTGGTAATTGGATTTATTGAACTCTTACAACTACAAGTAGGGTTTATGCTCTCACTGTTCTGCACCTTTCACAAATCACTACAGGACACACAAAGTCTTCTCAGTCTGTTGCAGTCTTCATCAACCATTGCTTGGCAGCGGCTTTGAACAGTGGACATTCGTCTTCCTCTGGGTCCCCAAACTGTCCCTGGCCTCAGCTACCAGCAGCCCACAACAGAAGCCCAGCAGTTAACTGACTCGCTGCTACTTCTAACTTGTCCTGCTTGTAACATCTTGGCATGGACTGCACAGATAATGCCCTTCCTTTGCTGCAGTGCAGTTGTTGCATCTGTGTCTGTTGGGGTGACCACGTGATCACTACAGAGCCATTGCCTAGGAATCGCTGTTTGCAGAGCCATTACTTAGCAACGACTGTTGTATGGTTTGTTATTTAGCTGTTGTTGCCTAGCAGTGGGTCTGCATGCCACATCATGATGTAAGCATAGTGATATTCTTCAGTTTCAGCAACAGAATGCCAGAATTTCTCTTGTAATGATTACTTCTTTCTCCTTTCTAGATTCATGTAAACACATATTACATCATGACAAACCCGTTCAGGAGACAAATGCATGCAACTGGCGCCAGTTGTCTCTTGTGTTGATTCATTAGGAGTGTTGCTGAAGAGGTACAGTAAATGGATCAGTAAGAACTTTCCTCCACAGCCCTCTCAGTACATACGCAGAGGTCAGTGCATCGCAGGAAATAAAAATTAAAACATCTGAAATATTTTTGTCTTTTCTTGTCAAAAGTATGTGGCTTGGTGTGAACACACTATCTCCCAGTATGTAGGACCAGTCCAGACTGTTCCAGCCTCCTCTAGACTAAAAAACAAGTATCACATTCTCCTGGCCAGGTTGTTATAGATGGGTGAGTACACTGTTGGATGATATCAGAGAGGTGAAGCAGGTCAGTCTGCTTCCTCACTTTGTGCAAAGAAAATCTTCTCTTGATGGTTGTACTGGGATTTCACGTGCACAAATGCCTCTCTTCACCACCTGCGTACACAGACCGTATCATTGAGACGTCCAGCAAGTTCGCACAGAATGAATGTGTGGAATGAGAGTGGTTGTCCAACTTGCATATGAATAAAACCAGATGTTGCTGGAAGTAGCAGAATGAGTCATTTCAAACAAAATCTCGGTGGAAGATGTTCACTGGCTGATTTTTATAGAAATGAAGCCATCACCAAACCTTCCGATTACTTCGAATTACTTTAGGGAACATACAAATACAGTGATATTTGCATTACTCTTAATGAAGGTGTATGCCCTAAGGAACGTCTTCGTGTAAATAGGCACTTATGTGGTTCTTCTTAATTTAAGTCTGTCAGTCTATAATCATGCTTACTTGCAAAGCAGGAGCACGTCACATTGTTGAACCTTCTCAGTTCTCCTGGTGCATGAAAATTTGGTCATAACAATACTGTTACAATTTGATGCTAGACCTCACAGCCACAATGTTTCCTTGACAGTACCATACAGATGGTAATTTTCAATATAAGAATGTTAACTATTATTAAACTTGCAGGACATTTCATCTCTTGTATATCAACTTCAAATTTGACAGTGTGAATAAAATATAGTTTATGGATTGTGTAATAACTCTTATTAATTTACTCTAAACTTACCACATTTTCACTGGATTTAATGACATAACCAATTCACCTAGTGGGGGGTGGAGTCCAACTGGGTTCACTTGGCACGGCAGCCACTGATTGGCCTATTGTAGCATGCCCCGGGTGATTATGATGATGGAGAATTTGGTGGAATGAAGATTGGCAGGGGAAACTGAAGTACTCGGAGAAAACCCACCCCAGCACCACCATGTCCACCACAAATCCCACTTGACCAGACATGGGATCGAACCCGGGCCGCCTCGGTGGGAAGCTGATAGCTAACTACTTGAGCTGTGGAATGGCCTATGACATAACCAGATGTTTGTTTAATTTTTGCAGTTAGTTATGCGAGGGTAAGTCAGTACGTAAGTTACAAATGGATATAGAACTTAAACAAATAAGAGTACTGATTTGAAAAATGCTTTTATTTCTCAACATAATCTCCCTGTACACTGAGGTACTTGTCCCATCATTTCGCAAGCCCCTGAAAACCAGCAGCGTAAAATTCTTTGGGCTGCTCTTGCAACCAGGCGGTGATTTCCCTTTCTGCAGCTTCATCATCGGGGAAGATGTTCAGCCGAAAGATGATGTTTAAGAGGACCAACTCCTACTGTAACATCTTTGGGAAACTTCATAAGGCCATTCAATGGAAGTGACCAGGACTCCTCACCAAAGGCGTGTTGCTTCTGCATGACATGTGTCCCCATGCTGCCAACAAGACAAGTGAGACGCTGTGAAATTTCAAGTGGGAAGTCTTCAAGCATCCTCCGTATAGCCACGACCTTGCTCCAAGCGACTTCCATTTGTTCGGCCCTCTTAAACATCGTCTTTCAGCTGAACATTTTCCCGATGGAGCTGCAGAAAGGGAAGTCACTGCCTGGTTCTGACAGCAGCCCAAAGAATTTTATGCTGCTGGTTTTCAGGGGCTTGTGAAACGATGGGACAAGTGCCTCAATGTACAGGGAGGTTATGTTGAGAAATAAAAGCATTTTTCAAATCAGTACTCTTATTTGTTTAAGTTCTGTATCCATTTGTAACTTACTTATTGACTTACTTACATATATTTCCAAATTTTGTACTACCTGTAATAAGTATTGATTATGATGTCAGTTTTTCTCATGCTTATTAATTCACGTTATAATGGACTTCCTTAATACTAAACCAGGAGGAAATAGGAAAGTGTGAAGACCAAGAATGAGATGGGAAGAATGTGCGTGGCAGGACATAAGAATTTTGGGTATAAAGAACTGGAGGAATGTAGCATCAAATGGAGAAGAATGGCAAGCAATCCTGAGGAAGGTCAGGGTTCACAAAGGGCTGTCATGCCAGTGATGATGATGATGATGATGATGATGATGATGATGATAATAATTGACTTCTGCTGTAACTATATCATTCAGTAATTTGGAATTGCATTCTCATTTATTAATGTCAAAGAATTTTATGTTTTTGTCCATTTGAAATGCAGCAAGGGCATGAAGCTGACCACTCACCTCCAGCTTGTGCTGAGGTCAAGAAAATGTGGATCTATACAACCACTCCCCCGTACGCCTTCATGGAGTAGTGCTTAATTAGTAAAACACAGGGACAACTTTACCTTTTACCTGACATGTACTAAATGTTATTACTGCCAATGCTTATTTTTGAGCATAATGTTTGTGTCTCTCTTGCATCTGCATGGTTCTTCAGTTTTTTGACTAATCATTTGCAGAGTCAGAGAAACTGTTACTGCGTTTGTCAGACTCCTGTTTCACAGTTAACTGTCCCTTTGTTGCATTTGTAAATTTTGAGCTTTTTTCTCTTTCTTTTTTTTCATATTCTTACCCAGCCCTTCTTTGCATGGGCAACCTCTTTCATGAAGAGTTCTGGCTTCTGGGATATAATTGCGTATTGTCTGTTGAAGGCCAACGACATTTTGAAGGGATATGTTGCCTCCATCTTCAGGGTCAAAGAATAAGCCAAGAAACCAGCATGAAGCAGGTGGCAAATAGAGCTGTACTTGGTCAGACCACAGATTTCACAGAAAAGTGATATTGTAATGTGGCAGGAAGACCAGTAAAAATACCACTTCTTAAACAGAGTTGCTCCAAAGTACTTGTCTGTTCTTTCCATACGTGTAGGAAGTGGCGGATTATTTTTCTACAGGGGGGAAGAGGACATTTGCTTCTAACCAATGTTGAAAGTACTGTGTTCTTAAATAGGAATGTGTACGTGTGTAATGTTTTGATCTGTATTTGCATGATTAACAGTATGCCACATACATAATCTTATTTAAAATTCTGATTATAACAGGAATAATTTCCTGAGAACACTCATGTTTCATAGAGTAGAAATGGTCTGAAGTTTATAGTGTCTCAACAATTCTGGTAAAGTTTGTGGTAAATGAAGTATAATGATTCCTGAGGTTATGGTAGAAATTGGCAGAAGAATTAAAATTAACCTAACACATATCAGACAACTTTTGTTCAAGGCGTGGAAATTACAGAAGTCAGAGTAAATTTTATTTTGGAAGTGCTGGAGATTTGCAGTGTGGGAATCAATTATTTGAACGTTCTGATCAGGCCTCATATTCTCAGTAGCGACAAAGTACTGTGGGGGATAATTGTGTTTCACTTGAGGATGACTTATTGATTTTTCTGTTTTCAACTTTAGGGAGGAGGACTGCCATATTGGAAGTTGCTGAAAGAGAAGAAGTAAACATTTACTCAGTATCTGCTCTCATTACTGGAACGTTTTCAGTACCTCATAAACTTCTATGAGTGAAAGTGAATATTGTCATATCTAACCTAAGCAGACTTTGTAACTGAATTATTAAACCCTTCAGTTTAAGTGTGCAGTGTGTGTTTCACTACTTGCCTGCCATACCATTAACTGAAATCTAACCATCCCAGTGTCTTCCTTTCGTTTCCTGAGGAGGCATTTTAATTCCATTATGCATGAACATGAAGGTTGATGTAAAAGTTATTTGTATTTATTTCTACCAAAACATTGCACCACAAATTTGAGTGTATGAGGAGGAAACAAGTTAATGTACTAACTGTTATTATTTGTCATCGTCATGCTTTTACTAGTTACCTGTGTGAGGCAGGATAGTATAGATAGTATAGTGACTAGCTATGGGTTGAACAACCGAGAGGTTAGAGTTTGAGCCCCAGTAGGGTCAAGAATTTTCTCTTCCCCACATCTTCCAGACCAGCTCTGGGGTCCACCCAGCCTCATATCCAGTGGGTACCAGGGGCTCTTTCCCCGGGGTTAAAGTGACAGGGACGTGAAGCTGACCACTCACCAACTAGTGCCAAGGTGAAGCAAATGTGGATATATACATCTACTGTCCAGTACGCCTTCATGGTATAGTGCTTAATCAGTTAAGCCCAGGGACAACTTTACCTTACCATTTTACATGTGGGATGTTCCAAAAATAGCTTTATAACTTTACAACTTTGGGAGTATATATACATTTATTAATAAACAGTAAATTAAAAGAAATGCATAGAAATGTGGCTGGATAAATCAAGTTTTGTGTGATTTCTCAGGCATGATGTGTATATATTTACAGTCTTTTAGGGCATATAATTTCACTTGTCACTTCACACTACAAGTTTCGGCATCATTCTGCCATCATCAGGTGTATCATATCACGTTAAACCATTGCACTGCCTGCCATCAAGTGTCAATTTATAAAATGTTTGTTCGTCGTTGAATAATTTCTGTATTAAAACTTGTTAAGATCTATCATCTTACATGTCGTATATCAAACTCGTGTGTAACACCATCTGCTATGGGAGTCCTTATGTCTTAATTGTGTATATATTGTGTCTTTATGTGGCTGCATGCGTTGTATTGCTGGACATATGTGTGGTTGTCAGGATTATGGTTCAATGTCACACCTAGATGCAGCATGACAAATTTCTTCCAGGGTGTCTGGTGTGAATTCTACAATGTTACTATATTTTTTTGCCTGTAGATTGTCAGCATTTGAGGAACAGTCTCCTCTTTGTAGCATCTTGATGGTATAACAGCTCAAAGAATTATAGGGCCAAGTTAGTAGCTGAGGAAAATACCAGAAACAAACAGTGCATCATGGAAATTCCTGTTTAAAACAAGAGTTATTAAATCATGTAGGCTGAAGTTTGTAGACTTCTTTATTCTGTACCATGTAAAAATAAGAATATTATTTGAAACATGCATTTCATACTAGTTTATATTTGTGACAACTGTCACTGTCATTTAAGTACTGCCTTCAGTTGGTGCTAATTGAATTTATTTGTTTGGTGACAGTTAATCTAGTAAACTTTAAGAGATTTCATCTTCTTGTGTGTATAATATCTTATGTCTGTGAACACAACAGTAAAACTGAATGAATATCTTCAGGTAAGGACAGAAATAGATGTTGATATATGCTCGTAGAAAGTGCCTGATGATGACCAAAATTGTAGGTCGAAACATGTAGCAAGAAATCCATGCTTATATTAAGACATATCAACATGTGTTCCTGTCTTCATCCGAAGATATTCCAATTTATTGTTCTGTTGACGGTCGTAATTAAAACAAAAATTAGAATATACAAAACTATAATTTTGCCTGTTGTTCTCTATGGGTGTGAAACATGGTCTCTGACATTAAGGGAGGAACATAGACTGAGGGTGTTGAGAATATTTGGACCGAAGAGAGATGAAGTGACAGGAGGTTGGAGAAAACTGCATAATGAAGAACTTCAGAACTTGTACCGTTCTCCAAGTATAATTAGAATTGTCAAGTCAAGGAGGATGTGATGGGCAGGGCATGTAGCACAAATGAGGGAGAAGAGGAATGCATGTGGGATATTGGTGGGAAATCCAGAAAGAAAGAGACAATTGGGAAGATGAAGACGGGTGGGTGGACAGTATTAAAAGTGATCTTAGAGAGATAGGATGGTATGGATTGTATTGATCTGGCACAGGGTAGGGACCAGTGGAGGGCTCTTGTGAACAGGCTAATGAAACTTCAGGTTCCATAAAGTGCTAGGAAATTCTTGAGTAGCTGCACAATTGATGGCATCTCAAGATGGGTTCAGCTCCATGAGTGAGTGACGGTCATAACTGTAAGATAGAGAGTTAATGGAATAGTATAAAACTTAGAATAATTCATTGGAAAGTTACATTTCTATGCAAGAAGGCACCAACGTCGGCGGTTATCCCTATCCTGTGTTAACCCGAGCGGTTACTCGGTAGATGTCAGGAGGGAATGTGTTGTCGACACTGCCATCTGGAGAAACTTTGAACTAAGTGTAGGCGTTATTTCCAACATTGCAGTAACATTGCGTAATAACTGTGTCATGCAGGATAAACACATGACGTGTGTACGTAGAACGGATTATGGATGTAGCTTGTTTACTTGGAAGCCAAGTAGCACGTGGAACGTGTTTTGTATGCCATGAATGTTGTTAATTACGGGTTTACAGAATTTGTCTAGTCATTCCATACCTAGAAATAGAGAATGAAAATAGTGAGCTTTGCGTTCTTTGTCACGTTAAGGGTGATGGAAAAGAGTGGTCTGGCAAATGCCATAAAACTAGAACTAATCCAATACTGACATAATTTAATGCAATTTATTTATTAGTGTTTCTCAACTGCAAATTGCCTACAACAGGCGAGCCCTATTAAATATGGATCTATAAAAATCCAAAACGACAATAATTATTATTATTCTGGATCAGGAAGCGCGAGGCCAATTGCAGGAGCAGTGCAATAGAACTTAAAATGTAATGATCACAACACCTACGAAGAAAAACAACTGTTATGAAACAAAGAAGAAATAAAATTGCGTCAATGTATGAGATTAGGAGCTAAATTGTCACATGAACACACCAGTGTCTTAATAAGCAGTATTTAGCCAACTCATATCTAGCATAAGGACTGGAATTGCGTGAATTGCCAACTTGAACAAGATAAGTTCCCGGTATTTTGAGAGGAAACACGTAAACCAACAGTTGTCAAAACGAGGAAAAGGTTTTGGACCCCTGTACCCATCATCAGGAAAATAGCGCCTGCCTCTTATTACATAAATTATGAAAATTTTACCACGCTTATTTTTAGGTATTTCATACCTATATTTAAAGTTATGAAAATATAAATGCTACTGTGTCTGTTAGTTACTACATGAGGCACTTTAGTGAATGCATTGAAGCTTATTGACACCACTACGAGTAATGATATTCCACGTAAGAGAGACATACTCGACTTTGTGTCTAACTACAGCAAAATGTAATATCCAAAGCCTGTCCGAAAAACCAGATGGAGCTCCCCCCTCCAAAAAAATCTAGCCCAGAATCTGATAGTTCGAGAAGAAAGTTGATCCTCAGGATAGTGAAGATAAAGTTTGGCGTGTGTTGATACTCCAAAATCCTTAACAACAACGTACGAATAATGGTGGAACATCCACGGAGTATATTGTAACGTGTCGGGCCGTTGCTATGCAACGACCGCGAGATGGGCGGATATGCCAGGGCCGTTTCTAGACAATGGCTCGGTAAACAATTTCCTGCGGCAACGAATACACGCTCAACAGTGGAGGTAGTGTTAGAAACGGCGTTTTCTGTGTTCCGCGACCATTGCTATGCAACGGGGCAGTAAACACATCTATGCGGCAAAGAATCCAGACTCAAACAACAGAGGTGCTGTTGGAAACGGCGCTTCTACTTGGTGCGTGTCGAAGGAAGCCGCCTTTCAGATAAGACTTAAGCACAGAAGCAGAGGAATAACCACTGTTGGAGCCGTTAACAGGAAACGCCAAGTAACAGACTGAGAACTGTGTGCTGTAGTGAGCTGTAAAGTGTTAAAAAGCGGTAGTGTTATAGTTATTTGTAGTTACGACTCAAACCCCGTCTACAGTCACACATACTTCACGTGTCAATATAGTCAACAAGTTGTTAGCTTTCTTGAAAGATAACTCTGGCTTTGTTGACGGTAGGTTTCAGGAAGTCAGCATCACACCACTCTCATTTAGAATTTGTGGTACGGAAAACTTCAATATCTTCGTCAAAAGAAGAAGATTAGGACAGTTAATGACACTGCACAGATCATTAATAAAATATTAGACGTCAGCCCCAGAACTGACCCATGTGGAACGCAGAACACCACAGTGAGTGACTGTAATTTTTGTTTGGTAATTGGATTTATTGAACACTTGCAGATTGTAACTACAAGTAATTATAGCGCTCTCGCTAATTCACACACTCTGCAATTCACTACATCACATAGTAAATCTTCTCAGTCTGTTGTGTCACCAGTCGTTGCCTGGTGACGGATCCCAACAATGTCCTCACCTTTTGTGCTCACGTTCTTACCGGCTGGCGACTATCCCACAACTGACTCCTTGCTCTAATTGTCCACTATCAAGTAACTAACTCAAGTAGTCAAGGGTTACTTCAGGACTGGCGGTTTTTTGCAAATAATTTCGTCTTGTCACCAAACCTCTTGAGGATCACGATCAGTTTCTTTTGCAGTTGAACACATGCGATCATAGTCCTTATGTAACAAAGTCAAGGTCACGGTCAGTCGGTTAGTAAATCTTGGTGTTGAGCCCAATCTGGGGCTCATGACCAGCTTCTTTGTCCCGCTTATAACTTCTCGGCACGGACCGCACATAAAACACCGTTCCTCTGTTGCTCTGCTTTTCTTGCGTGTGCAGCCATAGAAAACACACGGCGGTGTAGAGTTTCTGGGTAGATACCTCGTCGGCGGGTAATATCAAAATGGATCTAGGAAAGTAGGTTTTGACGCAGCAGATTGGATTGAACTAGCTCAGCTGGGGATTCGTTTTCTGGCTGTCTGTTTTGGTTGTGCTGAACTTCCTG